CCTCCAGGGATTAATGACGAGTAGCGGGATTAATGGTCATTATTCCACGAAAGTGTCAGTGTCAAACGTGTGTGTTTGTGGATTTGTATTGAAAATTATGAGACGGATGAAATTTGTTCATTGAAAATAACAAATAAATTAATTTGTCGTAAATAAAGTAGAGTATACTACTCGCAATAATGGCTATTATTCCCTCGTGAAGTTTGGACAAACCTTCCCAAAAATGTCATTCAAAAGTTGATTGTTTTAATGCCACATCGTTGTCAGTATTGTCAGTATCTGAGTGATCAATAATAATGTATATTCTATTCATTGTTAATGTATTACTTTTAATTATTGTATTGCTATTGTTCTAAAATATGTTAAATATTTTTTATTGAAATGAAATACAATACTTGGATACAATAGGTTTCTTGCATGAATTTTTTTTATTTGCTTATTGGAAAGAGGAGTCAAAATTAAGCTCAACTATATTTTTTTCCGATTTGTTTCGGACTTGCAAAGGCTCTAAAACACAAACCATGAAGAAACAAACCATAACCCCGACCCCGAGCATAAGGCCATTATGTCGTTCATAATTAAATACCTACTAATTTTCTAATGTGTGTCTAAGGCCGGTATTACCCAACTCCTTAATTCTCAATTTCTAACTCTTATTTCGTGCGTAATTCATAACAAGTTAACAGCGTGTTATTAAATAATGGCGTTTATCCAATTCCTTATTCCTTATTTTTTATTATTATTTTTTAAGAACGACCTTGAAAGATGGCAGCTTTTCAACTTTACGAATTAAGAAATAAGGAATTAGGAAAAATACTAAATGCGCATGTGCTCTAGATCAGCTGTTAACCTACGAAAAGGAAGAATGCTTCATTTTTTCTTGTTGTGTTTTTGTCTTGGTTGGAAACAAAACAATATTGAAATAAAAATAACACCTGATTCTATTAAAATAAAAAACCGATGAATACTGAAGATCAATCTAGTCTTATATATTTGCTGGCTGAAAAAAAAATTAAGTAACTGGGTAACAGGACCAAATCGATATTTTACAAAATAGGAATTAAGCACTAAGAAATAAGAATTAGAAATTAAGAGTTAAGGAGTTGGGTAACACTACCCAATATTGCTCTACCTGCATTTTACTAATACCTACCTACCTACCTACCTATACCCTATACCCTTCTTCATGTGAATTTTTTTCCGAAAGCATATCCTTGCTCACCTTTGGCCAGTTTCCGGAATCGGCTTTTACAAACGCTTTTCCATCCTTTATTACTTACAAACAAAATAAACAATAATTACCTAACTAATTAAATTATTGTTATTTTTCTTTTAAGTGGTTTATGGGAAATAAAACCCGAGTATAAGTTTTATGTGCCTGTATTCCATACCTACCAGTTTCTCTAAAGACTAACTTTTTACATTTTCACAGGTAAAAATATCCTTTTTCTTTTTTTCTTCAAATTACACTGACCAGTCTGCTGTTTTTTGTTGTTAATTATTGTTTATTTGGTTTTTTTTGGAATATGGAATGGAAAAAGGGTTTGTAAAAGTCGAGATAGGTAAATTGGCCAGAGGTCACTGACCTAATAGTAAACAAAACAAAAATCCCTTTTATCGTTTTCGTACTTTATACTGTGCCGGAGTAGTAAAGATACCGATTTCTTTGTCTAATTCGCATCTAGACAAGGAAAGAAAATTGACGATACTAGTCGATACTTCAATAGATGTCGTTCTTCTCTCTCAAGTCAAAATAGGGCTGTACTAAAGTCGATAAACAAAGCGATTTTGATAAAATCCATGCCTTCTTTTTTGTTCGATGTGTTAAAAAAGAAAAGAAAAAAAAGATTCGTTTGGAACGTGGAAATTTGGCAATCAGTGATTTTTGATTGGTGCAAAAATATGGCGCAAAATTCAAATAATCTGCTTTTTTTCTTTCAATTTCTGGTTTCAAGATTTTAAAAAAAATCAACTAACCATACTTTTATGTAGTATATAAAATACACTTTCGTTACAGATAAATTATATACCTAATTTTGATTGAGTGCAAGAGGTTTATTCGTTGCTCTACTTTTGTCGCCCCATTTCCATCAATTTCTATACTTAATATCATTTACCATTCTTAAACTTATTTAAAGTACACCAAAATGTGAAATATTACTTTCAGTGTAAGGCTGGGATTACCCGATTCCTTAATTCTTGATTTTTGTTCTTAATTCTTAATTCGTAAAAAGTTCAATTTATTTAACATTTGGTACTTTTGAGGATCAGGAATTAAGAACAAAAATTGAGAATTTGGGTAATCCCGGCCTACGGATAATATTTTATAAGTTAGTCAAAAAAACACAACCCAATATTTTTTAAAATTCAAACATTAACAAATAAAAACTTCGTTGCTCTACTTTTGTCCGATAGTTACAAAAAAATCCATTCTGAGAAATCAATAAAATCACGTTAATATGCTTGTTTACCTAAATAACACAATGAAACAATACTAAAACCGATGGAGAGTGGTTCTAAAGCCAAATTTTTTCCTCATTACAGCCTCGATAATTACCTAATACAGCATATCAATATAGCACAGGTAAAACGTTTAAGTTCCTTAGATAGACAAGTAAGCTAAAAGATACCAATGAAGTTTCAGCCATTAAGACCAAATACCGTTCTAGTTACTTTTTTTGCGGATTAAGTTAAGGTTAACTATTTTGAAGATAATGTTAACTAAGCTTACGAATTGTAAGTATGTAATGTAAGTGTAAATAAAATGATTATGTATGCATGCATTTGGTTCGTAGACGTTCACAATTTCGGGTCCTTGGATGGTGTAACAAAATCAATAGGTAATTCATAATCTCGGTATAAGTTCATCTTTAGTGGGAAACAGTTTTTTTTTTCTATGGATAGTTAAAATGTGACTGTTAACGCCAGTGGTCACCGGAAATTTAAATTGCAAAATCTCAACGAGTTATTGACCCATTTTCCTCATCATCCAGTTCATCTGCCGCCCAGTGTTTAGTAAATAGTAAAGGCTCTTCAAAGAAGTGATGGTTTATTCTTAATTTCAGTTCTATTGAAGTGTCAGTTTTGGGACCAAATCTTTTAATTGGGAAAATACTATCTTTTCTTTGATTTTCTTTACTTTAATTTGTTTTTGGTCTATCAATTAAATAAGGTAAATTTAGAAGTGTCTCTTCGACGTACCATTCAAAATTTTTAGTATTTTATGTTTTTTTCGGCAATTGGCATCATAAAATCTTTGGTAGGAACAAAAATAAACCAATGAGTGTACCTATAGGCAACACCATACTCACTCACAGTAAGCTAATGGTACAACAACCATCATCTAAACTTACTGGAGAGATCCTACAACCAAACAGGAATCAAATCAGGCTAATAACTGGAATCATAACCGGTTACTGTAGTCTGAGAAAACACCTTCACACAATGGGCATCCTCTAAGAAGAACTCATGTGCAGACTTTATGACGAGGAGGATGAAACCGCCACCCACATAAGGCCGAAACCCACTAGCAACACGCCACGCCACCCCACGCCATGTGACACAGGTTCACGTGGGACAGTTTGTGTGCAAATGGATGGATGGCGTGGCGTGCCATGGCGTGGTATCGCGTATGGCAAGTGTGTACGCAGCACATATAAATAAATGGAAGAATATACGCATACATTTTCGTCACATGGCGTGGCGTGGCGAAGCATGACGTGTCGTGTTGCTAGTGGGTTTCGGCCTTTCTTTGAATGTGAGAATTAACGCTAGTGGAGATACAGACAGATAAGGACAGAAGATCCTATCTCTAAGCTTACCAAAAGCCATGGCTATCTTGTTTTTTTTTTCTTTTAGTAAGTTTTAAGCGGAAAGGTATGGGGTGTTCACTGTATACTGGATCACCCTGTACCAATTATTGTCTTACTAATTATATTACTTCTGACACCAAATTCTCAGATTCCGCTGATCTCATATTTGTTGCACACCCCGTTAGCGATAGGATAGTGCCAGTAGTGGTGTCGTTGTTGTGGACCAACTCTCACCAGATGTTTTCGTTCTTATCTACGATTCTGCTTGTCCTCAGGATCCGCTCGCCTGTTTTAAAATCATTCGACTCGTAAACGCGCCTGTAATCATTCGTTACGGCGCTGCTAGGGAAAACGGAATCGTGATATTTTTCGTTCGAGTTTTAACTGTCTTGGCCTAGCGCTATCGGTCACATTTATGTTTCGGTTTTTGTATCGAATTCAACGAGCACGTCTTGTACTTGTTTTGCCATTAAACTTGTAGTACGGCTTGTTGTAACGGTCCAAGTTATCCGGTTGTTGGTTAAAGCTGCTATTAGTCGAGGGTAGTAAGAGTAGCGCTCTGCGAAACTAGTTCTACCGTTGAATGAGTGTGGTGGAGGGATGAGGCTATTATATAAAGCTTGTTAGTTTTGCAATATTTATATGGGAGTAAATACATTGCTGCAGACCTAATGTTTGGTTCGTTATTAAGAGGCATCAATTACTCACTCGCAATAAAAATGTATTTTTTTAATAATTTTCATAAACAGAAACATTCTCCCTTTTTTTTATTTTGGAGTGCCCCCGAGTCTAAATCTTTGAGAAATCCTATTCAAGATTTAAAAAAGCACAATTTCAACTCAGAATAATCACAGTATTTGAGTACAGCAATTTAAAAAAAAAAAGTGCTTTTTTTTACTTACTAATATAAAGAGCTAGAAAACTAACACTGTGAGTGTAGCCTTTCCAGTTTCACTATTACGAAGACTTAAAGTCGAGTCCACTGGTTAATTCAGGATAGTATTGTTGACTTGTGACATCTTCTACCAAATTTGTAAGAAACTATGTTAGTGATAGTGATATACCCTATTAAGTACTATAAGCATAATAATATAAATTACATTACAAAGTTCCTTATCAAATCTAAAATGTTCAATAAGTTTTTTGCAAGATTAAGTTGTTGCTATTCTTGCGAAAAACTGACTCGTGATTCAAAAAACAAAAAGGATGAAGAAGGATGAGAGAAGCGTGTGATGCTGTTCGGTTGGCTGCACCCCAAAACGAATCCATAGCTCCGATGCAATTTTAAGTTGTCTCAAAATTAATTGAGGTGGTTTGAGAAGCTGCTCAGAACTGGGGTGGTCTGTGTGAAAAGAATATCGTGTCAGTGTCTTTAGTTTTTATTTTACTGGTGTTTATTATGTACATGGTGTGAGAGGTTTTTTTTGTTAGTTGTCAATATAATACTGCTTCAATGACTAATTTTATACTTTCTGTAGTTTCATGTTATATTATGGTTATCAGTGTATATAGCTTTTCGAAAGTCGGAGATACTTGTAGCAATCCACTCACTCGAATAAATATTACCTAAATTAACTCAAGCAAAGGGACAAAATGTATGCAAATTTTTTATTTTTTTAGTTTGAGTGTTGTTTTCATTGGCAAAAATCTAGAATATATTTCTCTCTATTGTTCGCATTCTTATTGTGACGTTATGACAGTTTTTTGTTGGTTGAGTTATGGGTAAAAATTCTTAGTGTCATAAATTCGTTGATAAATGTCATGAAAATTCGGCTGAAACATGGAGAAAATATGTTTTTAGATGTTTACCAAATAAAAAAAGCCCCTACATAAATAATAATAAATACAGAGTTAAGTACATGGATAAAATCGAAATGACTAGAAAACTAATCATAGCAAGCCCTGACTGTGCTCCCCTGGCTTAGGAGGCTATGGGGGAGCGTCGGCAGAAGGCGGATGGCCGTATGTTTTTGAGCTGCAAGCAGCCACATCATAGGTCATCATCGAATACCCAATAAGGTGACGCTGACCAACCCTCCAATCCAAGATGTCACGCGATCCGTGCCGAAGAATGCATGACGGTGGGAGAGCACCATCACAAACGGAGCCTTGAAGATACCAGGCGACCTCTTCAAGTAAACAGCCTTACCATGTCGTGCGGGGCTCCGACATGGTGCACCTTTATTTTCCTAGCTATTCGTGGGAACAAACATGGATAAGAATTTTGAAAACACACAAAACAAAGAAAAGCGGGATGACACTGCCAAGACAATCTCTGACCGAATGGAGCATGACATACAAGACAGTCAGCAGGCAGGATCCTCTCATCCTCCGAGATCACAGAAAAAAGAGGGCTCTGCCAAACATAAGAAGGGTCCACACCCACGGGGGAGAAACCAAAAAAAAAGAAAGGAAAAGAACGGAACCTCGTCATGCTGAAAAAGCCGCTGGGCCCAACAGCTACGCCAAGTCAGCAAAAACCATTAAGGTAACAGCACTCCCCGTGGCATTCCCTAAGGTAACCTTTAGTGCAGAGGAACTCTTTGCCCTAGAGGACGCCATTGTGGAGGAAATGTCGAAAGGTGCGGAGCATAAGCTCCAATTTGGGGGCATACATTACCGCCTAAGTATGCTGGTGATTGATTGCCTCACTAAGGAAACAGTGGAGTGGCTAAAAGACCACGTCCTCAGGTTGGAAACCTGGCAGGGAGGAGAGCTGGAGGTGTGCTTAGGAAACCACATCCCAAAAGCGCACACCATCACAGTCTTTCCCCAAAAAATCCTCAGCTTAGTGAATACACAGAATGAGAGGCTTAGCACCCAGCTGTGGAAGATACTAAGCAGCAAGGAAGAAGGCAACGGCCAGCTATTAAACATCGGCATAGACGATAGATCCTGTGACACCATCAAGAAGATGAGTCACAGCATCGTCTACAGGTTCGAGAAAATCCCCGTACATGGCCTAAACAAGAAAAAAGAAAAAGACGAAAAAGGCGAGGACCCGAAGGAGCCTACCTCCTCAGGGTCCAAACCCGAGACTCCTTCAGAAGAAGAAGGAAAAAAAGAAATAAGGTAAAAACTCTCACTCCGGTAGAAGAAATTCCCAGCGAGAAAGAAAATATGCTTCTGGGCGAATAGGAGGCCAACACTCCATCACATCAGAAGAGACAAAAATAATAGGTAAGATGGCGAATTACACCAAAATAGCCCAAGTGAACACACATCAGGCTAGGGGAGCATCTGCTGCCATAACGCGGTTGTTCGCGTCGGCACACTTGAGGGCCGTATTGATCCAAGAACCTTGGATATATAAGGGTTAGATGGAAGTCTACCAAGTAAAGGGGCAAAAATAATCGGGACAGTCGGTGTAACGAGCCTAGGGCATGCATTCTCCTAAAAGGGAACATTAATCATTTATGTCTTTCAGAATTTACGTCGCGGGACTTGGTTACTGTTCGGGTAAGATTTATTACCGACCAACCACACCGCGATCTAGTACTGGCATCAGGTTACTTCGCTGGAGATGGGCAAGCACCACCAGAAGAAGTACAGAGACTAGTCGAGTACTGCAACAGGAGCAAACTACCGCTTCTAATTGGCTATGATGCCAATGCCCACAACGCCATCTGGGGAAGTACCGATACAAATCTAAGAGGTAAGCAACTGTTAGAATTTATCTTTCAAACAAACCTAAATATACTAAATGTAGGGAATACAGCAAAATTTGTAACAAGGGTCAGACTGGAGGTTTTAGACATAACACTTTGTAGTCCAAATATTTACCAAAAAATCAGGATTGGAGAGTTTCCAATGAACCCTCTCTCTCCGATCACACAATCATAATGTTTGACGTAAAAGGAGTGCAGGATCGAACCACTTCGTATAGAAACCCCAGAAATACAAACTGGGAAAAATACTCAACCAAACTGCAATATAACCTCGAACAAAATCATTTCAGCTACAAGAATAAACGTGAACTAGAAGAAACCCTTCAGATTCTTAACGGAGCAATCATGGAATCCAGTTGTCCCGTGAAAGAATAAGTAAAAAAAAAATGGTTGCCCATGGTGGAACAGTCACCTGTCACTGCTTAGATCCGAGGTTCGTTGGCTTTTCAACAAAGCCAAACGAGACGGAGAATGGCAGGGCTACACCGAAAGGCTGACTGAGTACAACAAAGAAATAAGGAAGGCCAAGCGAAAAAACTTCAGAGACTTCTGTGAATCTATCACAGAAATACCATCAGCAGCCAGATTATACAAAACCCTGGCGAAAAGCAGGGCGCAAAGACCATTGACACTTAAGAAACTAGACGGTAGTTACACAAAAAATGAAGACGTAGAGCAGGTCTACTGAAAACTCACTTTCCAGGAAGCACACCCAATGATACTGAAGAAAACAAAAGGCGGCCCAGGAAAACCAGGCAAGAAAACTGGGAGGTTACCAAGAACCTTAGCACTCCTCAGTGGCGTACTTGTTTCTGCCGTTCAAGTCGCCTGGAGTTGACGGCATCTTTCCAGCCCTGCAGCAAAAAGTGCAAAATGAAATCATGCCGTCTCTAATCAAACTCATCAGATACAGCTTGGCGACCAGATACATACCCAGTCAACGGAGAAGAGCTAAAGTAGCTTCCATCCCAAAGGCAGGGAAAAGAGACGCCACTCTTCCGAAGTCGTTCAGACCTAAATGCCTCACGTCGTTTTTGCCTAAAACAGCTGAGAAAGTTGTAAATAACATCAGAACATGTGCTTTAGAAAAGACATCACTACATCCTAGACAGCATGCTTACAGAGCGGGCAGATCAACAAATACAGCTTTACTTGAACTCACCTACAGCATCCAAAGCACATTGCATAATGAAGAAATAGCCATCTGCGCCTTCTTAGACATAGAGGGGGCATTTGACCTCATGAGTCAATAAAGTATGCGCTCATCAGAAAAAGAGTTGACAAAACCAAATCCACCTGGAAACGCTAGCCACCAAAACTACATAAACGTACGTTGTTGAACAAATCATATAGGTCATCACCACTACAGGATGTCTAAAAGAGGGGTACTCTCACCTTTAATGTGGAGTCTAGTGGTTGACGACCTCCTAAATTTATTGACCGATCAGGGCTTCACCTGCTTTGGATACGCCGATGATATTGTCATCATGACCAGAGGCAAATATGAAGTAGTTCTCTGCGACCTTATGAAAAAGCACTTCGAACCACGAATGAATGGTGTTAGACAGTGGGGCTGAATCTAAACTCAGCAAAAACCACATTGGTAACATTTACAAAAAGAACGAAACTCCTAAACCTTAGAAACATTCTCCTCGATGGAAGATAGTAAGACCTATCATTATCACGTACGGAGCGGTAGTAGCGGTAGTATAGCCGAACGCAGTTAGTAACAGCTAGGAAAACCCAGGTAAGTGCAAAAAATCGCGTGTCTCTGTATAACAGGAGCAATGAGATCATGTCCAACCGCGGCACTAGAAGTCATTCACCTCCCACCACTCCACATAATAGTGAAGCGGGTTGCCAGTGAATCATGTCTCAGACTGGAGAAGATAGGTCCACAAAGGAAAACGCACCTTGGCAGAACTTTTCCTCTCCCAAACTATGCACACCTCATGGATCTATCAGAAGAGTGATTGTTGATAAATTCAGTTTTGAAAAAGACTTTTCCATCGAACTAAGTACAAAAAACAAATGAAACATGGAATCTATCCAATCTCCTAGAGCAAACACCATCAAATGGTACACAGACGGTTCCAAAACTGCTGAGGGAAGTGGAGCCGGAGTATTCGGGCCACGGACTGAATACTCGGAGCCAATGGGTAAATCACCAAACATATTTCAAGCGGAACTACATGCGATCGGAAGATGCGTGCAATTCAACCTGAACAGAAGTTATCGGAAACGAGAGATTGTAATAATGTCTGACAGCCAAGCAGCTATCAGAGCATTGAGATCCCCGGCCATCAATTTTAAGACAGTTTGGGAATGTCTACAGAAACTAAATGGGCTGGGAAAACAAAACAAAGTAACCCTCTTCTGGGTGCCCGGTCACGTAGGTGTCGAGGGCAACGAATGCGGCGTCAGAAATGCGCACCATCAAAAAATCCTCATAAAAGAAGAGAACCGGCTAAGGAACAAACAATGGCTAGAACAGCCAGGACTACGACAGGCCAAAGAGCAATTGGGCAACTTCAACCAAAAAAGATCAGAACTGCTAGTCAAACTTAGCAAGAAGAGTCTCAAGACTCTAACCGGGGACATTGCAGACTTGAGAAACATCTACAGAAGTTGGGATAACAAGAAGGTGGCACCTGCAGATTCTGTGAAGACGGAG